GTTTGCAAGATTCCTGAAGTTATATGTGTATACATACATTTTCATAGCAAAATAATTATCAACCCAATTTCAGAGGGACCTCAATTCTACATTTTTTTTTTACATTAAGAAACTGAAGAGCTATTTATTGAAAACCATTCATGGATGTTTGCAAGATTCCTGCGGTTATACGTGTATACATACATTTTCATAGCACAATAATTATCAACCCAATTGCAGAGGAACCTCAATTCTACATTTTTTTAACATTCAGAAACTTAAGCCCCTTTCACACCGGGCCATACGTAGAGTTGCGTACCAACTTTGCCGAGCGAATGCTGCCCTATATAACTATACGCTGAGGGACGCAAAGGGATACGTGAGATAGATTCGCGTAATTTCGGTGTAGACACTAGATGCAGAAAGTACCATTTGTAACGCAAGTCTACACAACACTACGCAATACTACGCAGCTGTACGCCATGCCTACGCAAAAGTACGCTACCCTACGCCAGTCCGACGAGGCAGTAAAAGCTTGCGCACACAGTAAGCAATCGTAAGCAACCCTAGGCCTGTTATACACAATCGTAAGCGTAGATAATCCAACTGCATGTGCCGTAGGTACGTGGTGCCTGTGCAGAAGATACGTGACCATACGCAATCGTAAGCCAGCCTACGCATAACCTACACAGATCCAGTGAGAAAAGAGCTTTAAGAGCTAATTATTGAAAAACATTCATGGATGTTTGCAAGATTCCTGCAGTTATATGTGTATACATACATTTTCATAGCATAAACAAGCGTATGCTCACTGGGAGTGAGAGAGGATGAAGATATTGTTTTAATTTTTTTTAAATGACATCCGATACATAATATACCAAAGATAATTTGATGAATAATTCTCATTATGCATATAAAGCGCAGTCATGAAACCAACAACATATAAATAAATAAACACTGTATCCCCAACAACAGCAAACATGTTTTGTTTTTGTAGACTCCTCTGTATACTATCATAATACTCACCTGCAGTTCAAATAATATGAGCTCCACACATCACACACACATTATTGTGTGCCTGCAATATTAATATTTAATAACTTACTCATGTATATATACATTCATGCATGGGGAAATGTTTCTCATGGGACGCAATTTTATCTATTTTCAAGGTTCAAACCAATTAGCTAATTAATGAATGCTGGGCTGGAGAAAAAACAGTAAATAGCTGATGATTCCCCCCCCCCCCCCCTGGTAACTTTTTTTAATGAGAAATGAATTCCAATACCACTCCTAACTTTTTATATCAGGAGATATGTCGTGGTCTTGTGGATATGTCATCGAACTGTGGATCACATGCTTCGAATCCTACCTCGGCACTAATGTCCTTTAGCAAGACATTAATCCATATTTGCCACTTTCCACCCAGGTGTTAAATGGGTACCCGATAGGATGTGAACGTTAATATGGTTAGATTGGCATGTGTGCGCTTGTAAAATGGCGCCTGGCCGGAATCCTCCCCAGGGAGCGGGGCGTGTGCACTATCATGTGCGGATTAGCAATCAAATCCAATGACCGGGGTAATAATAATTACAATGTAAAGCCCTTAGAAACATAGTATTAAGCGCTTTACAAATGTGACTATCATTTTTATTAGCATAAGTATATGGGTCCGTCCAGAAAGTTTGGGCAATTTTTGTGACATAACAGAAGTGAGAAACTATGTATCCTATCAACTGTAACAATGTTTGCTCAAAATTTAGTTTTGCATAAAAAGCATAGCCAACTGTCTTCAGAAGTACTCAAGCTTCATGGTGAATCGAATGTGTATTAAGCAAAGATTTTGAAGAAAAGCATTTGAAACAGGAATGATTCTGGTAGGGCACTTTTATATTTGCATAAAAATCTTCAACAAATAATTTCATCTTCCATGTGTAGTAAAATATCTCATAACTACGTTACATGGGCACCGTCATAATTTTTGCCCCAACTTTATAGAATGACCCAAATAAAAAATAGTATTGAAGAAAATGGTATGCTGAAAGATTTCAGGGACAGCAGTTACTTAATTGCAGAGGCAACCCAGTTTACATAAATGGAAATATAATGAATTGAATATAGTGGCTATTTTCACTGTATATATATTTTAGGATATTTAACTTTACAATTCATAAATCAAAGTTGAATTTCAAGAAAAAATACATTATGCTCTAGACATCTGTCACTATTAAATATGTATCCAATTCCAATAACTATACAGTTCAAGGATATGTTTTTTGCAACACTCAGTGAGTACTTTAGGTACATAAGAATCAAATCAGGAAGACCTTTTTACAATGAAGTAATGACTAGGCACAAACCTTAATATGGAAATAGGGTAGCTTCAACACTTTCGATAGGGTCCTTATCCTAATTCCTCGTTAATAACCAAGGCATAATACAAATGAATAAAACCACATTAGGATGAAATGATGTGTGATGATCTCATTCAGAGCAAGGTATTTCTATAACAAAGAACACAATACTTGAAAGATATCTGTAAATGTTATTTTTCAAAGACAGAACAATTTGATTAACATTTGTGTGTTCAATGACTTTGGAATGCATGAAAAGAGTGTACTAGAGAGAGCTATGAACTACGGTACATAGATTGTAATTCTCAGTATGTCTTGTGTAATACATGCACATGTGTAATTCTTTAAAAAAACAAAAAACAAAAAAAAGTACATGTAATCTCACAGCCAATCACTTGCTCTAAAACTGAAAGAGCCAAGTTACGAGGTAACCTTTTAGTTATTCAGTCTACCGGTACTCATTAAGTGTCAGATTGACAATTTTCCCTTTAAACTAGCCCACATGTTTTGTAAAGTTGCTAATGCAATCCGTATCTAAGCAGGGATGCAATTGGTTTACACCAGTTGCCTAGCATCATCCCATTTCCATATAGCAGCAGAAATCTACTCCTTTGGGAAACCTTATCAAGCAGATCTGGAAGTATTCAATTTACCTCCCACTCGAAAAGGGGCATAACGGAGGAGAATCTAGGAAGGAGGAAGGAAAACACATGCACCAATATGTTGTGTACATGACACAGGACGCAAGTGGCACGGACAGGACAAAATGGATGCATCATTTTCTCCCTATATCAGTCTTTACCACCATGTGGATTGTCAGTTATAGATACTTCTGAATCATTCTGACCTAAAATCAACTAAAACTCTGGAAAGGATAATAGATTTTAAATGAATTAGTAGAACCATTACCCCTATTTTCTGTATATATCTTTGATGCTGCTGTCCCATTTATTCACTTTAATTTGATATTCCACTGGTATTCTCTACATATTTAGATAAAGCAAACTTTGCCTAATCTCGACACAGGGAAGGTCCAACTATTTTTGTCCATGACCACAAAGCGATCGATCAACACCCTCTCTAACTTTGGAAAGCCTGAATATACCATTACATTCTAATGACCGTAGGCCCAGAAACAGGTTTAACAAGATTCCATGCTTCCGGGCAATAAAAATAGAAATAAAACATCAGTTCCAATATCTTCTGATGGATTAGTATCCCTTGAGAGAGTTCTTTTTATAAATTCCAAGTTACAAGGATCTATCTTCATCTCATAATCCAATCTGTTACCATGACTACAACATTGTCATATCAATTTACTGTCCTTTCTTAGGCATTATGATGAATTTAATAGTAAATGAAAATTTAAAATATTTTTAATGACAGAGGATAAAAGCCTACTGCTTTCATTTCAATACATGTACACACTGTACAGTCTTTGAATGTGAAGGCTGCAGTACTTTTTTTCTTCTCTTTTCCACATCAACAGCTAAATGCCAAGGTAACAAAACTCTTTGAGGCAGATGAAACAAAAGTTAAAGTGTATTTTTACATTGAAAAGCTTAGAGGCGGTATCAGTGTATATTTTTAACAGCCTAGAAATTCTACCCCACTTTGAGTTTCACAAAATTTTGTAAAACCTGATTACTTTAATACTAATGGACTAAAATAGTAACTCAATATTGACTGGTTTACAGGGCCATTGATAAAATAGTTGGATGGAGATGCTCTCAAAACTGTGAAATGATATGACTGCTAATATGCATGCTCCTGTAATATGCATTTCAATTATAAGAATGTTCACAGTTCGCAACATTTACAAATGTGAGTCAGATATAGACTCTGCCCCACTATTATACTACGAAGCTCAAAGAAAGGGGCTAGTATCCAACATCCATCCATCCAATATGCTATTTAACTCACTGAAAAGAAGCTGGGATCACCTCAAGCCTCTATTCCTCCTTCAGCTGCCAAGTAATAAAATAGAAAGGAGTCTAAAAACCACTTCTCAATCTATCATTAGGCTACACTGCCAAAAACGTAGGAATAGATACAAGCTAATAATCACATTTGTGCCACCGGCTCACAGAAAGGGGGCAAGAACCAGCCCCCCCCCCTCCTTACCCCCTAAAGCTACCCTGCTCCTGTAAAAATCCAATGTCACTCTGGCTCCACTCCTTAGCCAAGGTCACTAGGCAGCCATGCAAAGAAGCCTAACGTTCTAGAGGAAGAGGATGATTTCCTTTGGCCTGCAACCTGAAACCCAAGGCCTAGACCAGCCCTTCCTTTTAATGCACTCCAATCTTCAACCATGAATGTATCATTGTGCAATTGTTCAAATAAACAACGAAGATATTTGATACACTTGAGTAAATTGAAGTTTCCTGGTTCAATTGTGGTTACTTTTAGTTGTCTATCCATATAAATATAGCATGATATTTCACTTTTGTTTCTAAAGACACTAAAATATCCAGTCTACATTTAGTTTCTTTTTAAAACGAGTGAGTTTTAAAACACTGGAATTTTTTAATAATCCTGTTGCCTAAAAACTGTGTGGATTTAGAATGTCTTTTTCCCTTTCTATCATTATTTATTTCTGTATAAGAGCTAAGGATATTTTTAAGTTTCTACACAAACAATATATTAATTTAGTTGTGATTTGATTTGATTTTCATTGTGTCTATCAAATACATATGACATGATGGGGCAGAAAATGTCTACCGATCACAAAATGTTGGTACATGTAGATCATACATGATACTTTCCATGTCACTACCCTTTAATCTATTTATAAATGACAATGAAGAGACATTATGCTTTGAAAACAATCACTGAAACTTATTGACATTAATATAGAATCACAATGATGTCAATTTAAATTGGTTAACAAAAATAATAACCTCACCTGTTCAGGAAACGTTGGTAGTTTGTTCTCTGTCTAGATCTAAGTTCTTTGCCCTGCCATTGGCTGAATCTTGTGGTTGCCAGGTAACGGATCTGATCGTTGACCTTTAGGCATTCAGCTGCAATGCGATGTAGAAGACCTGCTATCTCAAGCTCCTTACGAGGCCTGAACAACGTCTGAAGTTGAAGACTATCGAGGTGATGTGCAAGGGATTCCATGCAGAGGAAAGGGTTGATGACACTGAAAGTTGCAGAAAATATCATGTCATTGTTACTTTTGCTTTCACTTCAACAAAAGGTTACACTCTGGTTAAATCATTACTATTGCAACACTTCAAATCAAAATAATACTACTATGAAAAAGTTTTGATTAAGAAAATACCGACATTGATTACAGAACAACTACATAACTTCATCATCTTTTTTTTTCTTACCCCCTAAACTCCCATAACATTTCACTCTTTTATTTATCTAATTTCATCAACTTCTTCAACATACTCCTTTTACCAATTCCTCATCATTGCCATCTTTCTCTTAAAATTGCTCTTCCCCTCCAACATCGCTTTGTACAGAAATGACTTTGTCTTTTCAAGTGTTACTTCATTTTTGTCATCTCACCATTTTCAACATTCTTCCTTCTAATAATTCTACACCTCAAATCTATTGTATTGAAATATCTTTGATCAGTTACTGGAAATAATGTGACTTGTGACATCATTCCTTTTTTGCAGGCCAAGATGCATGTGGATCTATTCTATGTGCACAATTCATTATGACCAAACCAAATTAAGACATGGAAGCACCCAATAAATATGTGTGCCTATGAAAACAAAGGCCACATATCTTAAAGCCCAAGTCCACTCCAAAAAAAACTTATTTTCAATAGAACCAGAAAAATCAGACAAACCAATCAAAAAAAGTTTGAGCAAAATCGGATAACTAATAAGAAAGTTATGAATTTTTAATGACACGAAAAACTTTGAAAATCACTACACAAATCGGCAACTCACTCATGAGTCTGTGACGTATGGTCCTCACTATCCACTAATTATTTTTTTTATATTGATAATATAAATTTTTTTTTTTCACCCTAAGAATCACACCAGCATCCAAGTAAGATTGTTAGTAATATGATTTTGTGTGGATGCACAAATAAAGAGTAATTTTTGTCCAGTTAAATCATGAAAAATTGAATTTTGATAAACTAATTAGATAAAAATCAATAATTATGAAATACAATATTCAGAAAAATAGTATCAATTCTTCAAAATTCATAAAGGTTTTTGGGAAATGTCATGCACGCAATATGATAAAAATCATATAACCTGGGCAAAGGCATGGGGAAATCAAGTTTTGGGGATAAAAAGGGAAATTAGTGGGATTAAACTACATAAAGCAATTGATATGTTGTGAGGACATGACATCACAAACTGATAACCATCTTGGCAAATTGTGTTCCATAGTTTTACATACTTTTTCAAAAATTCATAACTTTCTTATTAGTTATCCGATTTTGCTCAAACTTTTTTTGATTTGTTTGTCTGATTTTTCTGCTTTTATCGAAAGTGAGTTATTTTTAGAGTGGAATTGCCCTTTAAAGGGATAGTTGAGTTCTGTTGTGATAATTTTTTTGTGAGATAATGAAAAACTGAGTGTCAAATTTGAAAGAACATACAATTTAAATGACAAAATCATCTTTGTTTGATCAAATTTGGTTCAGAGACGGCTGAAATATCCATAAATATAACAATTTCTAACACTTGTGTACCACCACAAATATTAGATAATTTAACAAATCTGTTGAATAAAGGGAATAGCGCCTTTTACATCGTATTTCAGTCAATGCCGATGATTGCTTTTTTGTTGGCATTTTCGAGTTGGTTTTATTACGCACAACCAGTCGGCCCATGTATTGTTATTTTTAATTAATTGACGGTGACCGTATTTCATTGAAAGTGGAGCTGAATTGGTATGATCGAATTGGCTAAATTTCACTCATTTTGGGGTCTGAATTTTAAAATTACCTTCATAGCATTTTTAGGTCCTAAAAGGGCACTAGAAATGTCATAGATAAGAATATGAGCAATAAACATGCACTTTGAAGGCATTTGCGGTCTGAAAACAGAACTCAACTATCCCTTTAAGTAATGATGCAGACAAAATGTCACTGTCATTTTTTATGGTATTAAACTTAGATGAAGGCTATTGACAAGGTTATAGTTCTTACCACTCAGTTATAGAGGCTTCATCATCCTTGCTGAAGCACCGACTGTGTCTCACCACCATCAGTACCAGGTCCTTGTCTCTGGTCCTCTCCTGTGACTCACCCTCCACTGGTCCAGTTTCCCAAGGAGAGTGGTCCAGGTCCTGGGGTGTTGGTCTAGGCATGGAGGACCAGTCACTCAGACAGGGAGCCAGAGAGTGGACCAGACGTCTACAGGAAGCCACAGGGTAAAAGACAGAGGTGTAGGAAGAAGCACAATCTAGGATCTCATCTAAAATGGGCAATTTCTGTAGAAAAAAAGGGAGAATGTTATGTCATGATATGTAACTTAAAGGTACTATGTCCCATTTGCAGGCCCAAAAAATGAAAAAGTTAAATTCCAACGGCATTTGAAAGATAATACTAATTTAGAACTCCCCTTAAAAAAGGGGGACATGAAAATGTCTTTCAGTGGGAAAATAATGACTATTAGTAGTCAAATCGACTTAGGAGCTATAGAGCCAATAAGTAATAGTCTTGATTTTCAGACCATTGTACCGCATGGTCGTACGTTTTATGCTGCGCAAAGATTCAATCAGTTTAATTTTGGCCATTACAAGAAGTGGATTATTGATGCAGACAAATCCTTTACAGCTCATTTTATGTATGTTATTACCAAAGAAGAAAAAAAGCCAGTCAGTCACTCAATACTGACAATAGTGTCTGACTGTGAAGTCTAGCAAGTAAACGGGTTTCTTTGCATAATTTGAATATTAGGACACTGCTAACGTTTAAATTTCACAGATAGGACATACATGACATATTCATAATTCCTGCAAATTTCTACAGAATTCGAGGTTGGCTGCAAAAGGGACATAGTGTCTTAATGTGTTAATTATTTTGTATATTGTGCATTAAACCAGATTTTGTAGAATACTAGATCTCAATAATCATCTCCATATTTGCATTTGTAATTAGCTCTTAAATTTTAAACCCTATTATTTAAAGCGAATAGAGACCTTTTCAGTATAATGCACTATATAAGAATTAACTTTTTATTATTATTGTTATTATTATATTTTTGCACTCTTCCCACTTTATAACTATTCCTCATATTCTAGTATACTTACTTGGTGTGAGATTTTATCAGCTAAATTTGGCGGCTTCATGGAGCAGGAAAACAAGGCACATATAGTGAATGAAGCGACTTCTCTGGGTACACCATGGATGTCAACCTCACCATGACTGATGCGGTCCCTGAGACGAGGACCGTCGGGATGCACGAGAAGATCCATCAGCAGGTCCTAGGGTCAATTCCAAAACAAGATATCATTTGTAATGGTAGCTCACTAGATACATTACCGGTATAATATGTAGAGATGTCTTGGCATATTGGATAAGTCACTGGACTGTGGATCACAGGATTCCATTCTCCACCCAGGTGAAGAAAATGGGGACCCGGTAGGAAGAAATTCCTTGAATGCTCTAGCGCCTTATTATGGCAGCTCAGCTACAGCTGGGGTAGTAGTATGATACTTTGTATTATTAAACTGCAGTAGAACATATTCATATCGTAGCTGTGCTATCAAATGGAACCACTATTATTTCAAAAATGGGATTGGATCCCATGTGAGCATATCACCTAGTTGAAGTTTTATAGACATACTAATAATTACCATAATCATCCCAGGAGGTATGTTAAATTGCCTTGCTGGAGAGAAGCCACATAGATTATATGCACTGTTTGATGACAGGACTTAAACATATGAACCTTATATGATCTCTAAGTCAAGTCCTCAAAATACTGGGCAATGAAAACATCTTGTAAGACTCTTATTTATATTTTACAAGTCTTGTCAAAAACCCAAACATCCAATCATCAAACCAATGATGATTTGATACTTTGATAGTCACACATGACAAGTCAATGGCTAAGAAGGCGTGATGACTCAGTGGTAGATAAATGGTCTCGTAACCGGGAGGTCCCGGGTTCGAAACCAAGTCGATGCACTAGTGCCCTTTGGTAAGGCATTAATCCTCATTTACCAAATCCCTTGGAGAGGACTTAAAGTAGTCGGTCTGCTGGTTGATACTTCCAAGCACACACATGCTTTCTTAGCAGTCAGGTCAACAACAAAAAACCCAAAGTTTCAAAAAACATAAACCATCCCATGCAGATATCTCATGTGTAGAAGATAGATGAACTCTGCTGAGTCCAGGTTCAAATCCAAGTTAAAGTACTAATAGCCCTAGCTCAGCAATAAAAAATAAACATAAATACCCCGGTAGATATATTAATATATCTTATGGTGTGAGCATGTGAGGTAACTTACCTTTTAAGAGGCAGTTCTCCCAAAGGAATTGAGAATGAAATATAATCACAGTATAATTATCACAGTATTATTAACAATGTAATGCTACATGTTGCATAAAGCTGTTCATACATGTACCTGCATTTAAAATAGAAAATGCTACCTGAATAACAGAAATCTCAAAAGATATTGATGGCTTTCCATTTGTCTTTGCACATCATTCTTCATCTTTGTTAAAAAGTTGTGAACATCTTTGAAATAATATAAATAGTATTAATTACTACCATACCATGAATGGCTCAGATATTGCAGGTATAAGCAGATTGGGGTTTCCATCACTCAGCTCAGCACAGAGCATCTATATGAATAGTATACAATAAACAGAACAAATCAAGAAATAATCTATAGAAATAGGCACAAATTGCTCAAATTTTAATCATATATCTCCACAGAATCATTAATCAATTTGAATGTCTAATGTATGGTATTGCAAAGCAGAAGACTTGGTTTACTTTGGAATGAATAAGATTTATGTCTGTCCTTGTCTGGGCTTCATAATTTCCAATTTTGGAAATAGTCTGTTGATTTAAGGCAACATATTTGTCTTGTATCGCAAACATGGGCTGTCAAATGATAAGAGTATACCTAGCATTTCCCTACCAAATACTGCAGCCAGAATCTTAATAGATGTGGGCAGATGTTGATATAATACTTTGTCATTGACGTATAGTCATTATTCCATATTCCATTATGCTGAATATTAATGCTGGGCAGGAGACTGAAGCTGAGATTCAAGTTCCCCCCATAAAAAATATGAATCAAGTAAATAAATAAGTAAAATAAACTATAATTATTTGTTTATAAGCAATTTGTCTTTGATACACGTGTAAATTTTGGAACTTTGGACGTACATGTACAAACTGATGCAAAAAGTGTTTTGAGAGACATGTATGACTAAAATTCTCCTTGATACATCCAAATATTGCTTTCATGCACAAATGGAAATTGATACATGTGTATTCCGTAATATTATCTAATTCAAAGTTAAGTTAAATTTAAATTAAGTAGATTCTAAAACTGACCTCATCAAATGTTGTGAATAACACAGTGGACTGTAACAGAAAACAATAGATAACAATTAATTAGCAAAGGATGGAGTTCATCATCATCATTATAATCATTCTATTTACTTGTCATTCATGATTTATTATTTTTAATGGCACAAAATTTGGAGGATTAAAACCTTTAAGAAAACTGATAAGGGGATGTTCTTTCATGGTATGATTCAAGTCAAATTAGAAAAAAATTAATTACTTCAGATTAGTGAAATAATTGTTATCATGCTTAATCATCATTGGCTGCTACTGTCAGCTTAAATAGGTTTCTTCCTTGCAGCTTTGATGGTATTTTCAAATGTTTATAGCTATTCCATTATTTATGGAAGTACTAAATATAAAGAGAGTCTAATTATGAGATAAGAGTGGGTGCTGACGTTATACTCTGCCTAATCATTTTTTTTCCTTTGTCTTTGTAGCTTAATGAATACTCATTAACAACTCCCACCACATAAACATTGATCAGGTATGTACCTCAGCAGTCTTTGAGTGGCTATTTTTTTGCTTTTCAGGTTTGGGTTATCATTAATATTATTATCATGATTAAGGTGCTAATGATAGTACGTAAAACTAATTGTATTGTACGCTAAAAATACTATCCATATGACAAAAATATATCATAATGAGCTGAAGAGACGTCATATAAGTGCTATATATATCCAGAATATCATTATTACGGCTGCCGGAGCTAAAGCTAGGGTAATAATTTCCAAAGCTCTCCGGAAGCGCATAGAGATGTTATTTCATGACGTATTATGCGCTATACAAGAACTGAACTATTATTATTATTATCATTGTTATATATGATTGTTTTTTTCATTCATAACTACATATTTAAAGTTATATATACCTCTGCTGTAAGGACTCTCTCAGGACACCTGTTGGCTTTGGCGAAAATTAGTCTGATCAGATGTTCAAGTAGAGGGCATAAGATCATAACACATAGATTATACCTATAAGGCAGGTGGAGAGACACAAAGAGAACATGGAGAGTGTGGGAGAAAAGTAGAGATAGAAAGAGAGTGAGTGAAAGGAAGGAAGAGGGGAGTGGGGAAGAGAGTAGTGAAAGAGAGAGAGAGAGAGAGGGATAGAAAGAGAGAGAGAGCGAGAGAGAGAGAGGAAAAAGTGATATAAAATCTGTCAAGATCACCTGTTAAAAGTAACACTCTTAATTGTTTCAATATCATTGGTATTTCCTTAATATGAGAGGGTTAAAGCCTCCATGTATTTCTGTTAGCACCTTATTTGTCAAACTTGATTTTAAATATATTTTTATCTGCAGTAAATCAAATCAACCTCGCCAACATGGTGTTTTAAAGAAAAACAAACTCATTAGAGGATTTAAATTTTTTTAAATACTAAAAAATAAAGAGATATACTGTGAATTTAATAGTTTCATGTGAATTATGTACAACCCACTCTAAAAGAGCTTCAAACACCTTTTAATTGTTTTATTTGGCAACTACAGCTACTATCTAGGTTGTCAAGCTGCCAACCCAAGAAAAAGCCCAGATTGAATGATCTCCCTGACATCTAGATATTACTGAGGGTTTTTGCCTGTGCTTGGGCTATTCATATTTTGCCCTGCACCTCTTCTGTGTTGCATTGTCTGAAAATCATATGTAACTTATCATCTGGTTCTTGTCTTTAAAATTGAAATGCAAATATATATCTCAAATTTAAAATTACTTGAAATTAAAGACTATATTTACACTCTTCTGAGAATTATCATAGGGAATAAGACAAAGCATATTTGTGAATCTTACCTTTCAATTTCATAATAGTGAGCAGCTTGTTCCCACATTGAAACATGACTTTGACAGATAAGGCCTCTCTCACAAACCTCTTTAGAAAGCGTGTTCAAGTGATCTGGAAGTAAAACTAGACACATGGGAGAAAAGAACTTTAAAGGGATCGTTTAACAATGTTAAATCTGAGATACACAGTCCTACATGTTACCAGTGTATGTGATATGGTGTAATATTGTAACCCTAAAAAAAATCGCGCTTCAAAATGATCAAGAAGGGCCTCAAAAAAGTAAAAAATCTTGGAGTGACCGGTTTTACCATACTCGTTTTCCCCAATAGACTGTAGTGTTATGAAAAGGTTTTCAAAATTTGTAATTCCAATCATTAATATCTTGATAACGAGACAGGCGATCGGCTTGTAAAAGTCATGGAGTTCCTGACTGACCTAAAGGTTTATAATTATCATTACAGCATGAGCTAAATCAAGGATTATTTCTAAACGATCTAAGACAAAGTTGCCGGATCCCTTTAATGTAGGAGGGCAGAATTTCACTTGAAAAAGTACTTTAGCCCAAAGTAATACTAAGCTTGGTAGGCTCCATTGACCTTGATGCAGCTAGGGTGTGCGCTACTCTGCTTGCACAGAGCACAAATCCTACCGCTATTTCTTAAAGTTACAAATAAGGATTTTCCTTAGGAATAAACTACCAAAAACTAAAATACTTCAGGAAATTTGAAAATAGCTGAATGTTGACCTCACCTGCTACAACATAGCACTACATTCATAGATTCCAACACATTCATTTTTGATGTCATGGTAAATATATTTTTTGAGCATCATTTTGAGTAGGATTTGTTTTCCTCTTTTAATTTACAGCCATCATCAGTATAATGAAGATAACTTCAAGATAAACACCTTAGTTGTTCCTTTATGTAAAAAGATAGCATCTCCCTGCAATACTGAAAATTAAGATCTTACTTTCCTTGGGTATTAATCTTGTAATATTCTTAGCTGATCCAGAGTGCCATAGAAGTAGAGGAACAGGTAGTGATACATAATTTGATTGAGATATGTGAAGATTTACATGTATTGTGCCTTACCAGGAAATTTGTTATGTAGCAATGGAACATGTTTCTGGAAATCTATCTGTGTTCTATGAGGAATGCTGGATGGATGAATTCCAAGGCTATGAAGCATGTAGCCAAGACTTGCGGTCAATACCAATAGAAAACTGGAATATCTATGATTTGAGAATAAAGGAGAGAAAGGAGTTCAGAATCTCTCTAAGCACAATTTGGTGGATTCATTTTCATGCCATCCTTTCATTCAAATACAGGGCAAACACCACCAAGTTTGAAAATGAAAATAAATCTATAATTCTTTGCTAATCTCATATGGAAGGACTGACATACATGAGGATTTTCTGAATTACATTACATTAACTATCTTCAATAATTCTGTTTCAAGATCCATATCATATTGCCATTTCATGCTGGTACACTGTACTTTATTTTTTCTGATTATCCCTTTCTTGAGCTTTTGCTCTGGATGTTCTCCATCTTGTTGAGGGTTCCAACGGATCCATAAGATCTTTCTTTTTTTCCCTTCTTTTTTCTGTTAAATAAAAACCTTAGGCTTCTGCAAAAGATGTGACTTTGATATATGCAAAGTTGTAATAACTGCAATGAAAAGGAAACTGCAGTGAAGTTGAATCTCACCTTGAAGGAATTTCACCAGGAGATGCAAATCCATGCCACAGAATGTTTCTGAGGTTGAGACTGGTTGGAGGTCCCATCAAGACTCGTAAACAAAATAACTGTGAAAATAAAGAAAGAAAGAAAGAAAGAGAGGGAAATATACAAAATTCTCTACCATATATCCTGGCATAATCATTTGCAAAATTATGAAAGCATTGTTATTTCTGATAAGTAAATGCATCTATTTTCACATAATAATTATCATTTCCATCATTATAATTTACTAAAAATATGAACCGCTTCAGATAATGCTCTCTAATGTACTTGTTATAAAGCTGACACATCTAGATCAAACATTTTCCCACCAAGCAGCTTGCCGTGGATTTTAGAGACCGTACAGGACCCTTCCGATTTTTATTTCATTTTCTATGGCATGTGTGGTCACAAAATCTGTGGCACCCGGTGAAAATTGGTCAAGTGATGGGGCCCTACCGGGGCCCGACAAGGGTCCTCAAGGTGCCCTGCTGGGTGCCGTGAGGTGCACTGAACTATGTGTCCTCTGACATCTGTGCCTCTTGTATTTAAAGCTGCGTTGTACATTTTGAGAGGTCTTTCTACACAAGTTCTCGCGCTGCACACATCTTAAACCATGGGCTCAAAAAGGAAGTGAAAGAAAAGACAGAAACACGTGGATGATGTTGGGTCAGAGGTGGGCTCCAACATTGAATTAGCTGGCGCAGATGTGGGCCGAGAAGGTGAAGACGACGCATGTCAGTTCAAGATGACTGTCAAAGACCAGATTGTAGACATTTTTTAGGCCTACCCATGCTTATATGCAAAGGAAGATGGAGACTATAAGAGCATGAGACAAAAAAAAATAGATTGCTGGAAGACTTCGTCAAAGAGCTAAGCCATGGATACACTGGTAAGGAAAATCCCCTTGTCAATTTTGATCATTGCTATTGTGATTTTGGTGACTTTATTACAGTATATGCATCTACTTTTCATTTAAAGTTCCTAAATTGTATGATTTACTTTTGAACAATCAGTATCAATTAATCTAATATGATTTTTTTTAAATGTATCCAGCTACAAAGATTCTGATGAGGTTCACGTCCAACAGGACCAACTACGGTAAACTGAAAAAGAAGGTGAAGAGGGATAAGTCGGGGTCTGCTGCTCTGAAGCTAACCCAACTACAACAATGGACATTGAGGCGGTATGCCTTCCTGAATCTCCATATGACCATTCGACTGACGGATGACTTAGGATCGGTAAGCATTTCATTCTATTACTCAAGATGGACATGTGACCCTCCACCACAAAACGACCAGAATGTTGGAAATTTGACCTTACTTGTTATTAACTGGAGTAGAAAGTGCAGATTCTTAGTCTTAAAATGATATATAGCTATGTCTTTATGAATAAACATCATGAACTAACAGTGATAATGCAAGAAAACCAGACAGGCCATTTTCAGAATAAAAGAGAAGCGGTCTCAAAGAGTGGAACATTCAAGGATGCTCATTGCCCACATCACAAAAGATTGAATCAAACATCCTTAGAAATCATTATGAAGGGATTATTGGATTATGTTCAATTAATCTAAAGCAATAACCCGGGAGGGGTTACTCAGGTTATGTCTTAAAATGTAATCTTATGAGTATCTATGCTTATACTTATGCTGTAAATTTTCAATCTGGTCCTGTTATACTCTCATCTTATCCTAATTTCATATTTTCAGTTTCAGTTTTAGTTTTTGTGTAAGTGGCCGTACTAATAAGGCATTTCATTTCTAGCTGTCTCCTCATTCTCATAAATACTCACTTTTCCCTATATTTTGTCCAGATTACCTTAATGATGAATATTATGTTGTATGATTATCTTTGTAATGTATGTTATTTTATCTTTATATATATGCGATACCATATGTTATTTTATCTAAATGTTTTTTATGATGAATGAAATAAATTAGACTATCTATCTATCTATCTATCTATCTATCTATTTGGCTCCGACAGGGGTGCGACGCCGCAAAACCCAACCCCTTTTTAAGGGTGATTTTGGCGGAAATGGGTTAATAAAAATAACCTTTTTGTGCACTGTAGCGAAAAAAACGCAATAGGGGGATCAAAACGCTCACATCAGGACATCGCCAAGGTCCTGTCCAGGAAGAAACAGAGGAAGTCAGGTGGACCACTAGCTGAGATACTTTCAAAGTTCCTGGAATTATCGGGAAAGGAAAAAAGGCAGTCTAAAAAGGAGGTTTAAAAATGTAACTATTTCATATCATTATTGACATATCGAAAACGTTGCTACTCTTTAGCACTTTGTATTTGAAATTGACACAAGTCATGTTTTCTACGCTCTGTTTCAGTTCCAGACCATGGCCTAAGAGTCTCAAAGACCAATGGATGAGGGGACCTCTTGGGGTTACTGGCGGACTGTTAATGGATTTCCTCTGAGCATTTCAAACAATATCAGAGGGACACCTATGAGACCACCATGCAATGGATTCCAAAGGAACCTGCAACACTTCCCCAACCTTTGCCAACTTCAGTGATGCTGCCCCTGCAAAGCGACAGGCGACGTGCAACCACAGACCCATCTGCACACCTTTAACACATACAACATGCCACAACAGGCGCAGCAACAGCTGCAGAGTTTTGTGCCATACTGGATTGGATGCCACAAGCCCCTCAGGCAGCCAGTTCATATGCCTGTAAGTATCAGTTTGCATTTTATGCAAATTTGTATAAATTGACTAATACTCATACTTCTTGCACAGCCTCCTCCAATTCATCTGAAGATGAAGAAGTGCAACAACTACATACTGCACACGGTGGTGACGTACGTCCAACTGCATCTGCAATTCAGCAATACGTGCACAATGAATGCATTCCGGGAGGACAAATTGTGGCCTCAGTGCCATCCTGTCTACAAACAGTTTACTTTTGCGGTACTGATCATTAAAAGCCGGCTTCAGCTCACACACAGAAAGAGAGAATTTAACTCTTATCGTGCCACAGGGCTAATCCCTACTGTGCCAGGTTGTTTTGGAGATAATCTGATTAACGCGATGGTTCTATGAATGGCGAGTGCGAAACACACAGCATAGCCCAATGAGCATGAACAATAGTTGCTACTACGAATGCGCCCTTGCACGCACATGGCACTCAATAGGTAGCGTGCATGCAGCCTCATGGCAGGCTATGGGTTAAAGGCTGTATTTATATCAAACAGGTGGATTCGATGCCGCCGTGAGGGGCCAGCACAGACATTATTCATATCAAATGGCCCCCGGACGGCAGACCCCCAGTGTTGTGCATATCACCTGGGGCCCTTGAGGGGCCGTGAGGGAGCCATAGAATACCCGTACGACACCCTTGAGCACCACAAGGCGCGCATAAAGATTTCTCATGAGAATTGACAGAAAAACATTGTGAGGGGCCCAGTCAGGCACCGTCTGGAGCCTGCACAGGATCCCTACAGGCTTTCTACGGCCTAACGATCAGATTAAAAACACTGGGAGATATGGGAGCAGCCAACTTAGCACCAGGGCGCCCATAGGAACTGTACTGGGAGCTGGCCGTGAAATGGCCGAAAATTACCTAAATTACTGTTTTTACTCGCCGTACAGGCCCGGAGTGTAATTGTGAAAGCCCCATAAGCAATCATCAAGAACAAAGAAAAATTAATACCTTTTTGAAAACAATTATTATTGAAACCATGTGACTTACTGCATGGCATCCAAAGAAACTCTGTAGTTCTTGTGTTATCAGAAGATCTTTCAGCAGAGATGGACATGGCTTATTTTTCATCAAGTAGACCTGTTGTATGCAAATGAATTGAAATATTTCAACAATTTTCTTCAAGTTATAAGATGTCTTCAAGAATAATTAGGGTTCTACCATAAATATTTGCAAAATGGCTTGGAGCAAGAAAATCTGCTGGATTACAAATATTTCATATACCAGGAAACAATGGCCCACACCATTTGATAGTAACTAAAATGAAAGCAAACATACTGGTTTTGATCTTAAACACAAGTCTCTTACAAATACATAGACCTTCATGTCAGCCACACAATAGAAGTTTTATAATTATATGTTTCATACATAATAAATTTGGGTGAATGGAAGCTTTTAAAAGTCTATTCTTGAGAGGATAGATAGATAGTGGTGGTTATTTTACCTGACAGCTAAGAAAGCAATGAATGCTTGTTAGTAAGCAACCATAGGGGTAAACTGTATTCATTCAATACCCTCCTGACAGAAAAAACTCCAATATCATGATTAATAAATAAAATATCAACAAATTAACCCGTTCCTTCCGAAATTATTTAGCCTGATAGCCACCCCACAAACGAGATTAAAAATCGAAAACTCGACTCCTTCGCTGCCGTACAATACCGTGCGACTGTTCAGCGCGCGGAACAATGCGTGTGCGTTGAAGCGACCTAAAGCCTGGCCAGTCGCTTCGACGAGCAGGAACTTAGCGCATGCGCAGATCATTTGGCAATCTGCCGTGCTCTAAGTTCTTTCAGCTCTTCCGTACTGTAGGTTGTTTTTCTTCGTTATCTTTTTTTCCTCTTCTACCTACTTATTTTGTTCTTCTTTTTTCTCCTCCGTATCTATTTTTTTCCTTGTCACTCTTATTCCTCCTCCTTCTTCTTCTTCTTTTTCTTCTCCTTCCTATACTCTTTTTTATTTTGATACTCGATTTTATGAGAAAATACACAGTATATAAAAAGTAAATTATTTCAATGTAAGTTTCTGTTGCATCAAATTTAATTGAAATAGTTTATCAGCCAAAATTGACTGTTATAATTTACGTCTGACAATATAATGTAGCGAAAATATGTAAACATGATCAAATGAAACTCAAGAAGAATCCAGAACGGGGGGGGGGGGAGAGGGGGGAGGTGAAAGGAGAGCCAAAATAGCATACTAATAAATACAGTACAGACTATATAACGATGCGCCCAACTTTCTCTCTCTCTCTCTCTCTCTCACTCTATAAAAACCGTTCATTATACTTTATCTCTCTCATACTGTTTTCTGTTCCGCGATTTCCGAAAGCACGTTTCGACATATAAATAAGAATTGTTAAAAGTAAGAGTATGGATATAAAAACATCTCTTATGCAAAAAATAATATGACACAATCTTTTTTGACAGAACTAATATACGTCGGACGAAGGAAATAACTCCTTGGTCGGACATCATACTTTAGCGAATTTTGTTTAATTTTTTAAATTTTGTTTTAAAGAACTAAAGAAACATTCTGAATGGGGGGGGGGGGGGTTGATCAGATAGACAACTAGTATAATAATAAATACAGTACAGACTACGTTCAACGTTCTATCTCTCTCTCTCTATCTGTCAATGTTGTTCCGCCATTTGCTTGTATGCCGGCATCATTCCTTCTTTGAGATAAATTATGATAACATATCCATGATGATGAAAACATACATCTTAAATACTAGGGAAAAAAATAGAGAACGAGCGGCTGATAATGTCAAAATGAATATCACTGTACACAAATTATAGAAAGTAAACGTTTTGATTTTGAATGTAAATCTCTGTTGCATCAAAATAAAATGAAACGTTCATTATATCGACGGAAATAATATACATCGGACATTATACTTTTACCACAAAAGGGTCATCTAGAAGTAGGTGGATAACATTATAAGAGAAAGAAGAGAAAGAATGAAACTTTCTCTTTCAAAAACAGAAGAATAATGGAGAGGGAGACAAGGACACATACACAATAAATAAATATAAACAAGATAGGATTCTAGAGCGGAAGATGATATAGGGGAAACGAAATAGTTCGGAAGTATTGCCTAGAGAGCAAAAAAAATATTCTGTTTTATTTACTAATGTAAAGCGCTTTGATCATGTTTTATGTAAAGGCGCTATATAATATCAATATGTATGAATATATTGGCAAATTTTGACAATTATAGTTTGTAAGTATGAATTGACAAAGTACGTACAAATACAAATGACACAGAAATGTCTGCAAGTATTTGGGACCTATATAGAATATGTGAAAAGAGCTATATCTTTGTCTTTGGCCCATGATCCCACAACTTAGTTACGTAAGAGGAACAAAGAACGTTGACGGATGTAAATGTTGTTGTCATGGTGATAAACCCCAACAATAGAAGAGCGGAAGTAAGGTAAGGGTATAATTGAATGGCAATGACCTGGCTTACAGCACTGATGATCCTACATGTATAACCCTGTTTTTTGTGTGTGTGTTTTTCGGGGAGTGGGGTCTTGTTGTTTTTGCAATCATTCAAAGATAATATCAATCATATACAAGATAAAGGAATGAACAAGAATATATGATATGCTAAAATGTAACAGACAAAAAGATGATGATGAGAAATGATTGTTTCTATCTCTTTTTTTTTCTCTTTTTCACTCTCTTTATGTGTGTGTCTCTCTCTCTCTTTCCTCTCTCTATCTCTCTCTCTCTCTCTCTCTCAAACTCTCCCTCTCTCTCCGTCTGTCTCTCTGTCTATCTGCCAATGTTGTTCCGCCATTTGCTTGTATGCCGGCACCATTCCTTCTTTGAGATTAATTATTATAACATAAAATTATCCCTGATGATGTACATTATTATACCTTATATTTATTATAGGGAGCGAAAAAGAAAACGAGCGGCTGATAATGTCAAAATGAGAAGAATATTACTGTACAATATTTATACAAAATAAAAACTTTGAATGTAAATCTCTGTTGCATCAAACTGATATAAACAAATTGTTATTATGCTATATTGACGGTACTATTATCCGTCGGACATTGTGCTCTAGCCAAAAGATATAAACAAACAAAAAAGAGAAAAACTAAAGAAAAAATCTGAGGTTTGTGGGGGGGGGGGGGGGGTAGTCGGTGAGAAAAATATCATAATAATAAATACAGAACAGACTACGTCAAACTTTCTATCTATTCTGCCCCCGTCCACCCTCCTCTCTCTCTCTCTCTCTCTTCCTCTCGCTGTCTCTCGCTCTCTCTCTATCTCTCTTTCTACGTTGTTTTCCATCTTCATCTTTCATGATGTTGTCTACTATTCCGCCATTTACTTGCATGCCGGCATCATCCTTTCCTTGAGATTAATTATTATAACATATCCCTGATGTTATACGTCAGACATTATACTTTAGCGAAAAGAAATAATCAAACAAAAAAAGAAACGTACACAAAAGAAAAACAATCAGAGCTGGGGGGGGGGGGGGGGATCGGAGATAACTTTCTATCTCCCCCTCTTTCTCAAATATTTTATATCTCCTCTCACATTATACCTTAGTATAGGGAACGCTATAGAGAGTGAGCGGCTGATAAAGTCGAAATGAGAAGAATATTACTGTCCAATACTTATAAAAGTAAAGCTTTTGAATGTAAATCTATGTTACATCAAACTGCTATACAAAAATGTTTATTATGCTATATTGACGTTACTATACGTCAGACATCATACTTTAGCCAGGAAATATAAACAAACAAAAAAAGAGACAAACTAAATAATAAATCTGAGCTTTGAGGGGGGGGGGTCGGTGATACAAAATGTCATAATGATAAATCCAGCATACACCTGATCAAAACTCGTTTTCGGAGACTAAATCGAGTACAACCTCGCGATCTTGCTTTAGACTTATAATACTGCTTGTTGTTGTTGACAATAGAGAGCTGACCTTTGGATTTTCCTTTCATGTGCAGTGAAGTGCATTGTTCCGCGCGTGCCGCGTGCCGTTATAGGCTTTGGCTTTGCGCTGCTCCCAATTGAAATACCAGCAGTATTGGTATTCTGTGCATGGAAGGTCTCAGCGAAAGTCAATATCTGTGGGACAGACATCGCGGAGCTCCAATACGCTGCTGTACGAATTTCATGTGAGAGAAAACTTGACATGCTAATGAAAAAGTACAAATATAATGAGTAATATTAAAGTAAACAAAACAGGAGTAATGGATAATGATAGCATATACTTTGGATAAACCCTCACATCCACTAGTTTAGTGAATTAATGGCAGGGAAAGGCAATTTAAGGCTTGTAAAGACGTCGTCTACCTGCCTATTATGGGAACCTGGTATACCAGGTTCCCGTCTGTGAGTGGGCTCCACGGGAGCCTGGTATACCAGGTTCCCGGAAGGAACGGGTTAAGAAAGAAAAATGGTGGCCTGGACTTACATCTCCCAGTGCCTTCTCTAGGACTGATGTGGTCACAAGTAAACTGATTGAAGGACCTCTCAAATCTCCCTCTTTCAGAAGCTGAAACCCTTCTAGAAAAACCTGCAGTAAGAGCAAGAAATGAATCATCTAGCATTACTCAACTTGTGAAGAGGATTACGAGCTTGAATATATATCAAATGAAGATGTAGAAGATAATTTCTTTATATTTCTATTGTAACAGACTAAACTTTGTTAAAACAACTTTACTTCGTCACGAAAGTATCTTGAGAATACTTTGAATTTGGAAAGACTGTAGAGACTCATTCAATGAGGCAATTAATAACCTCCAAACCATGAAAAACCAGGCAAAAAAAATGAGGACAGTATATCATTTTCAGTGTGCATATATATTCAGAGCTATTGCTGCTCTCAACAGGTCCCCCTCCACCTCCATTTTTTTTCTTCTTTTTTTGCTTTTACAAAATTTTGCTTATCAGTTTTTTTTTCAAAGCATACTGTCTGAATATGACTTCAGTTTAAGTTAGGAACATAGTATCATTTATATACCTCACTTAAGAAATCCAGCCATCTGATTGGTCGAATTGCATTCATAAACTTCAACTGTTCCTGTAAAATTCTCGGTAACCATGCATAAAACATTTCAATATTTTTAATAACCATGGTTATTAAAAAAAGTTGGTCAGCCTCCATGGTTACCCCATAGGTTTACATGTTAAAAATGGTTTGAGCGATGGAGGATGCCGTATGTGTGCGAAGGATTGGTCGGTAATTTCAATACAATTGAATCTCGATCGATCTTACCGACAATTTTATCTTGCATTGTTGACATGAAGACGAAAATAAACTTCCAAAAACAAAAAAACAACATCTGCCGATAGATCTTGATCTAAGTTCGTGCCAATATGCATTGCAAAAGTAAAAGAAGAGTCCGTATATGGAGCTTTTGCGAAGCATTCATCACACGCGAAGCCGGTTTCAATCCATTTTAATGTATATATTGTACAAAACTGCCATACATGTCAACAACGCGCGATGGCCGAGAGGTCTGAGGCGCTGACTTAAGACACATCACCTTTTGTACGCAAGAGTTCGAATCTCATCTTCGACCAAAAAAAAAAAGTATTTTTTTTTTATTTTTTAGTCTATTTTTTTTCGGCATATAAAAGTATTAATGACTGCTTTAATATTCGAGAAATAGTTGTTTTCATACGCTCTCGGGAAGGTTACAATTGGGCTATTCCCCTCGGCAAGCCTCGGGGAATAGCACAATTCTAACCTTCCCTTGAGCGTAATAAAACAACTATTTCTCTCAAAGCAGTCATTAATACTATACCATCACATAACCTTAACACAGTTTATGTATTATTTGTACATCAGCATGCTCTCTCATAAGTTAGTTCAGGGATGCCAACCTTTCAGAGCACAAATCCGTAATCATAAGGCTAAAAATCCGTAATTTGGAGACAAAATCCGTAATTTTCTGCGCGACGCAAATTTTTCTGCACGCTGGCGCGGCAAGCGCAGCTCCCGCAGGCAAGCGCGATAGCACAACAAGTTAAATAAAAGTAACATAGATCTAGATCTACCTGTTCATTAGTTGGTGTTACACGATGCATTTCCATTTCTTACTGTATTCTTCTTTAAAAGTCTGTAACTTCTTGCCACGCTTCTTAGTTGTGGAAGACATGATGATTGATATCTAAATCCAACCAACATGAGTTCAGATTGTCGACGAAAATCGACGAACGCTGTGACAGCCTGTGAGAAATCCGACAGTGTACACGGCGCTAGCGTAGCGAGGCCTGGCGCTGGGCGGGCGGTAGCGGCGCGGCCAAGAGAGGTATTTCACCCGGCCCCCGCTCGCGAAGCACATGTTGTATGCACATGTATGCACTGAAAGGGGTGTGCTAGATAACAAATTGTCCAATCGGAAGCCCTGTGGGATTTCTATGCATGGATTCAAGGATGGCTGCGCTGCAATAGTCAAAAGTACGTGCTAAACCTTAAACGTGCTAAACCTTAAAGTGCTAATTTTGAAAATCGGCAAAATCTGCAAAATCCGGAATTTATGGTATGAAAATCGTACCGCCCGTAATCGGCCGATTTCCCGTAGAAATTACGGGAAATCCGTACTAGTTGGCATCTCTGTTAGTTGTATACCACAGGAAGTATGTGAAGTATAACACATGAAGCTGTAAACTGTCTGAAAAAGGGGAAGCTTCAAAATAAAATAGCATCACGGTCATTTGCATGTGTTAAAAAACTGTACATGATAACACACAGAGTATGCATGCCTATTTTCCAGTCCTCACTATTCTTTTACTGGTAAAATGGGTTTTATATTGCATCTTTAGGCAGTTTATGGTACCTTGAAACAGACACATTCACACAGCTATCACACTTACACCAGGGCAACCTGTCCATTGCAACCATTTACTATATGTCTCCTCCAGGTCAGATAGAGAGAGCGCCATCACATGCTCATGGATGTCCAGACAAGGCACAGCAAGTCTACCTACTACATTATTGAAGTCTTTCTTTGTATCCCAAGAATCTGAAACAGAATGTAATGTGTCATTTCTCACTTTCTTCAGAAATATTTGTTTCAGTATAATATTCATAATTTAGGTAAAATTGAATTTAAATTTCTAGTAGCAATATGATTGCAAGTAAATAAACCTAAACTTTTCATTCAAATGATATTGTTTACACATGCATATCCTACTTCATTTTTAAGTTAATGAGAGATGATATTTCAAAACAAAATTCTGACATTCATACATACATGTTCAATTACAATGAAAGAATATTTGATATTTTATGCCATTTAATGGGCGCAGTCAGATATACAACAAAAATTTGATGTCAATCAAGATATTATTTAGTAGGCTATTCAACATCAAACTTCTGCATACTCAAATATACCTCACAATATTCTAATAATTATTCATCTTTGCATTGTTTCCAATATGTTTGCAGTATTAGTAAACTAACACAAGCAAATTATACCCTCAAATCATAAATAATTTGGTCATACTTTGAAAATTATATTTTTATCGTTGATAATCATGTGTATTAACAATCACGATATTAGCAATTCAATTTTCTTCTAAACAAAAAACTCTGAAGTAATTTTTCGAAGTATTCATATCTACCTATATCATGTTGAAGTGCATTACTGTTCAGAGCCTCCCAATCAATAAGACCACTTTGTAGCAAACATGGCTCATTCTGGCTAGCTGATGTTCTTGACCCAATCTTAGAGATCAGATGATGGACCAGAGGTGATAGATACGTCTTCTGTTTGAAGGAATCCTCCTCCTCCACATCAACAATGAGTGGTGATGATGGTGCTTCATCAGACTCTGAAGACATCTTGGAATCACTAGAACATCTTAATCAAAATGAAAGAATAGATGTAAATGTACTGTAACAACATAACAAATATATGCATTCAGGAGTTATGTATTTGATTTGTAGCACGTATTAGTATGTGTGGGTGTGTGTAGGTATCGATTCTACAACAAAAGATACGATTATCAAAGTCTGAGAATGACCTTCATGTCACCCGTCTACATTATTTGACTCAAATTTTATAAATATTGTTAAGCCAACAAAAACAAAGTCTAGTCCAGTAGACTCCAGCATTTTAGTGAAATAGAGCCAAACTTGTTTACTTAAACACTGATGCTCATCCATTTTTTGTTTGTTTCTCAAAAGAAAAGAAAACAAATAAGAACATAAAATGCTGTAAGAAGTGCCAACAGAAAAAATAGGTTACAAATAAAAGTGGCTACCTGCACAAACTCCTAAAAAGTGCAGTGATATTATGAGAGAGGCTTGCCTGAATACACAACAAGCTTAGTATTAATCAATTCCACAAAGCAAGAAAATTACAGAACTCCAGATGTTGGCCTTCTTCACTCAAGTTCTAATGGAGTCAGATTAAGATTAAGATTAAGGAGAAGGAGAAGGGAAAGGAGGAGAAGGGAGGAGAAGGGAAAGTAGGAGGAGGAGGAGGAAGAGGAGGAGGAGGAGGAGGAGGAGGAGGAATAGGAGAAGGAAGAGGAGGAGGAGGAGGAGGAGGAGGAGGAGGAGGAGGAGGATGGAGGAGGAGGATGGAGGAGATGGAGGAAGAATAGGAGGAGGAGGAGGAGGAGGAGGAGGAGAAGAAGAAGAAGAAGAAGAAGAAGAAGAAGAAGAAGAAGAAGAAGAAGAAGAAGAAGAAGAAGAAGAAGAAGAAGAAGAAGAAGGAGGAGGATGGAGGAGGAGGATGGAGGAGATGGAGGAGGAAAAGGAGGAGGAAAAAAAGGAGGAGGGAAGAGGAGTAGAAGGACAAGTCTGAGAGTGAGAATGAAAAACAAAGACTAAAGAGCTGTTAGCTGGAACAGTGGAACCTGAATAATTGAAGTGGAACTGGGTCTGGTCATTCTAGATAGAGGTGGAAGTTGTAAATTTCATCACATGAAAGTGATGAAACAGACAGACACATAGAGAAGTCGCATAGACTTCCTAGTCCTACAGAGTACAGTTATATTAAGAACTTTAGTCGTTAAAATTAACTTACAAAGTAATATTTCTGTTAATACATTGAATTAAATGGGTGTATCATATATGCTAAACAGTTTATTTAATTAATCGATAAGCAGTAGGGGTATGGACCGAGAATATTTTTGCAGACGTTTCTTAATCTTATTTTTAATCCGCACGTTGGCCATGCGAAAAAACTGATTACGCAATGATTTTCTTGATGCATTTCACATCAATTTTGTACAGACTTTCACATTAGGAATGATAAATCCCCTGGAAGATGGACAACCCATAAAAAGTAGAAGGTGAACTGAGGGCATTTTGTTACACAGAATTCTTTTTTGCATCGCCAGCGCACGCGGTTTGTGAACCCTAAACCTGTCGAGCGACGATGGAAAAAGACGTCCGCAAAAATGTGGACAATTCTTAAGTTTTGGGGACGCAATTTTTCTGTGTTTACGAGGATACCCTCGTTTAAGCAGACGATCCACATTCTCGGATCAGCGTCCCTACTGATGATAAGACAATAGTCTATCCTGAATATGAAACTATCTTTCGACACGACAAAAAAAGCACATGAAAGATAACGAGTGGGACTGTAATTTAAAATCGTTTCCGTTCATCATCAATCAAATTCAACCAAATATATTATACAATCACTAAGCAGGAATTTGTTAATTACAATAGCTAAACTATATTAAGAACCCCCACAAATCAAAGTAATATTGAAATAATCTGCTTAACTTACAAAATCAAAAAGCGCGGTCGAGCTGAAGCCTGAGAGTGAAAACAAACACTCGATCCGTCGTCTGCATGAAAATGACTAAGATGTACAAACACTAGAGGGAGACATACAACTGCGACCTTTCATTATCGAGTGGTGTGGTTTGTCGGCGGTTGCCGGACGCAGCTCTCTTGACCTCGCGCTAAAAAAATAAAATCAAAGTAGAATTTTTGGAACAAGAGAGATTAATTTTGTTGTTCTTCTTTTTTTTTCTATTGTGCGATATTGGTGTAACTAAGATTTGTTTGGTCACTTTTTCAATTCAAGATTAATTCTTGATTGCCTAGTCGGGTAGTTATGTTTCACGGTTAACATTATAACACGTTGTAAAAATTATTAGATTAACTTCATTAACTATGAATTCCTTCAAACAGAAATTTATTTATGAATTACAGATTTCCCCTAAAATATTCCCTTAGACCAGTTTATTTCTTATTCAGAGAGGCAAAACAGAATTGAGTATGGTTGGAACTTGGAACTAAGGAAGATAAACACTAAATCGTATGATAGATCAGTGTCGTAGGAGTCTGCACAAATAGTAAAATTTGTGATAGAGAAGATTAATCAAAATGTAAAAATCCATTCGAATAAAAATAATCATTTAGAAGAAACACCTAAAAAACTGTTAATAATTACTTCTTTATAAGTTAACACAAACCGTATAAACTATTATTTTAATGATCTCTGACGGTCTTTGTCAAAATCCTTTGTTTTCACCATTCATATTTTGGCGAAATTCAATGTTAAAATTACATATGCTGTAATTTTGGATAAAAAAGGTTTAACTCTATCAACGTATTTGTTATTTTGTTTCGTTTCTACAGTCGTCAAGGGAAATCAATCATTGTAAAGAATATAGTAAAGACTTTCAAAAAGTCCGACAATTTGAACGAAAAAAAAAAAATCAAATTTCAATAGCCTTGAGCGTCACTACTGGAAATGTGCGAACATGATTGACGTATTGTAATAGTTGTTGTGATCGTGTTCATTGTACGTGTTACATCCACACCTATGTTGTTGTTGTTGTTGTTTGGTATTATCGGCGTTTCATTCTTTTTTTAGAATATTTACGCCTTTTACTTTTTTTCTTTTTTTCTTCTTTTTTTTGGGTACTATTTGTAAATTCATACTCTTCTCTTTTTTGGATTATAATCTCAGATCTACTGGTCCATGAAAACCCCTCACCGCAATTGACACCTTCCTGCCAAACCGGCGCGGTACATTGCGCAATCTTCTCGGGCTCTCGGCCATCATTGGCCTAGGCAACTCTGGTGCCGGTGAGAGGATTCCGTGGTAGATCTCCAAAGTATCTTGTATAGGGTTTACCGTCCTCAATCCGTCTTTACTCTTTCTTACCTTTTCTCTTCTAGTATTTTTCCATTTTGTAAAACCTTATTTTTCTATCAAAGTAGGTATCAACCTCTTAGGGCATTTGGTTGTCGTGCGATATGTGCAACAACAAAACAAAAAAAATCTAGTAGAAGCACTCAAAACGCCTCGTTCTACGAACGAAGCGGATCAGTGCTCTCTGGGTCGCACTTTCTGTTGATTTTAGGAGTTTCATTATTTCGTTTGGGCTCGTTATATCACTTTCCATTATCAGCATTGCTCTTTCTATTGTATATTTAGGACATTCCATCAGATAGTGATCATAGTGTGTTATTGTTTCAGGGGTGTTACAGTAATTACAATTTTTGTTGGCTTGGCCAGGTTGGGTTGTTTGGGATACCCATATTTTTGCGGGGTCTGCGTTTAGTCCTATGTTGCAAAGTCTGAGCCTGCGAATTATGACTTCGCAGTCTCTAAAAAGGGTGATCTCAAACTTATGTTGAATTGTTGGTTTAAAAGGTCTTACGTTTTTTTTATTGCAATTTTGCCATGTTTCTTCCCAACTCTTGTATAGTTCTATTTTCAATACTGCTTTCATTTCAATACTGCTTTCCTATCTCTATTATCGGCCTTTATATATCGAAAAGTGGTAATGCGTAGAGCGCCCGCTCTTGCGGACTAATTCGTGTTTGGTCAATTGCGTCTTCCGCATCACGAAGAAAGTTTTTATTTCTTCAGGACTGTTTATACAAAATACACAGAACCTCTCCATACCATAATGATCTTAAGTTGGAGTCGTGCAATTGGTTGTCCCCGCCCCCGAAAATCTCAGCCTAAAATTTGAAATAGGAAGCATAATATATGAATTTCCAGTTGAATAAATATTGTTATGGATTCTTTCTAACTGAAAGCATTCTAGAAATATAGACTGAATGGTTTGATTTGAAACAAGGAAGAATTGGGACGCAAGAAAGAAAGATGAAGGTCATGATTTTAAAAAGTTTGCATTGTTCTCTCAAAATGTTCAAAACAATGTATTGTCCTATTCAACGAAATCAAATATTTACATAACCCACGCCGATTATGATTCTGAACGTTCAAATAAGGTAATTAATGAACCTAATGTGGGGAAAGAACTGATAATTTGACCTTCAATATTCCATTAGATGCTTCAACGACATTAAACAAACGACTTACATCAATGATTTCATACAATGCGGAAAGTATCTCATCTCATCTCATCTGATTTCAATGAGCTGTGATTTGGAGTTTCACACCTGTATTTTTTCACACAATTGTAAAACTTGTATTTCAATTTGTAATTTGTCAATGTCAATCAAATAAATTTGAGTTCTGTTTTAATAGTGATTTCTAGATATCAATTCAAGGGCAATTTCAATACCCTGATGCGTATCCGTAACCATGTTTGGATTATGTAAACATAGTTATGTATCAATGTATCAATGGACAAAAGAATCAAAATTACCTTTCTTTTATTTTACGAGAGCCTTCGCGATCGGGTTACTAAAGAATTGTTCCTTGATTCATTTAAGAGAGACGAATACAACAGATAAAGGCCGTCTGTACTAGTTTGACCAGGAGGGATTAGACCACACAGCGTGGCTATCTCATCAACTCAGCTCTCAATTAACATAAGAAAAAAAAGGATCATGGGGGACAGATGCGTCACCGATTATGCATTGTTTTCTCAATAGAGGGAGCGAGTAGCTACAAGTAGTATAGTGGTGCTTTAATAAGTCACACAATTTAATCCGATACTCCTTTTTTTTTATTTTTTTTTTTTAAATAGTAACTCGGTTACCTTCAGCATGTTGATATAGATTATATTCGGCATATATGCCTTTTTAGGTTATCCATTAGGACGGATAGCAATGTTATAATTGTGAGCGGATTTCAAAATCACGCGTCTTCATGAACAGATATATGTAATCTAATTCAGATTTAAATGAAACATATCCTTAATTAGGTTTGAAAATCATTATACAAATAGGATGGTATCACGATCGTTTTCGCTAATTTCATCTCTTATAATCCTAAATACTATCATATGACACCGCTCTGTATCGTAGCAAGTCGATACACAATTATTATGATTAACGTTGATGTAGGTTGATATTTAACCTGAGGTGACCCAAAACGTTTCCCAAACATACTTCTCATCCGTTCAGTACAATTGAATAACTTGTGAAATTATGGCCAGTATCCACAAAACAGTGATTTGGTCATTTGAGTGGTTCGGACGTTTGAAAAGCATTTATTTATCTACACCCGAAGTCACAAAAGACCAACAGAATCGGCCAATTGAGTTTTACGACTGGTCGGCGGATAATAGAGGACATGAAAATTCTGAGTGCAAATTGTACGCGAATGACAGTTAGATAAAGGATTAATTACATCGTCAGGGCTGAGGCGGTCACTCTGTGCCCCCTTTCAAGAGTTTAGCCCCGTGTTTATGGATGGGGTAAGGGGTACACAATGGGTGTAGGGTCGTCCACCTCAAACAGGGGAAGGGGTTCTTTGAAATACCCCAACCACCGTTTCAGTGAAATCTGGACGGGGGTCAATGCCCGTATGGTCAATCAACTGAACGGCCAGCTCGAGGACGAAACTACCTGTTGTGTGTTTGTTATTGGCTCGTGAAACCCAGTGATGTACAAGATGTTTGTGATCTTAAATATTATATTTTGGAAAATTTGTTTTCTCATATGTGATTGAATACTAGTGATATAAATCATATTTAAATCATATTTAAAGAAATCTTACGGGTCGAGCCCTGAATCAAAGACTGACTCTCGATTGGAATGCTTCTCTTTGCTTATAAATATTGTATGTTATTGTTGTTATCTTTCATTCATATATTGCTTTGGGTCAAAAAAACACAATTATTCTGAACCACAGTTGGTAGATATGAAACACTCCAAAAATTGTATATTATACAGGTACCCTAAATATTCGATACCGCTTCTTCTCTAGTCGCTACACACGCCTGGTCCAGTGCAGGAAGCAGGATATAATGGCCTTGGCATTGGACGCTTCTATGTATCTTTGATACTGATTTGTGGTATTCTGAAATGGTACTCACAATCTGAATACATAGCTCTCGTAATCATTCACTTTTTACATTTCATAATTTTATTACTGTACAGGGTAAAGGTGACATTTTCTCACTTTGTAATGTTCTATTTCTTTTTTTTTCCTTTCTTTTCTTTATAGACGACTGTAAAATTACTTTGTAGTTTGTGTCAAATATGGACTTACATGCCGTATAATTATTGCACTTACAAAGTGCAGCATAGGGGCAATCCGTGAAAGACAGAGGCCCTCTGCGTTTGCTTATAGTAAAGAATCTCGTTTTTCACTAGAGCTTGATTAACAGGTTAATAAGTGGAAAATACTTGTTCTAAGATCCCTTATGCTCTGACACTTTGTATATCTTATGTATTTAGACTTAATAAAAGTCCCTTTTTAGAAATGATAGCCGTTTTATGGAGAAGCTTTTTTGGACTGAAACCCGAGAAACTACCTGAGATGTTTATACGTGCGTATGACAGCTCTGTTAACCTTTATTCTCATCAAGAATTAAAATTCTTGATACACTATATCACGAAATGGGCATATATGCTAAAAGGGATTACCGGTCATATACTCGTAGCCTCATATGGTGGTAGTTCA